GTTTAGGAAATTAAAATGTAAAGCATATCTCCTCCTAATGATATTTCTAACTGGGCGATAAATAATAGGTACCTAACCTGAAGAATTATTTTGGAGGAAATGATGATTTTCAGTGGGTTTTTGGTATCTGGAATTCTACATATAGAGGTACATCATTTCCCACCTCTGATTTAACTGTGGCTGTTAGATAATGAGTTCTGGTCTTCCTACCTAGCAATGCCTGACAGATTAGCCAATATCTCTGGAGTAAAATGAACTCCGGGCTCAAATTTCAAGACATCTGAGAGCACAATCATTTGAAAACAACAGATTGGGTTATAGATTCAAATGGAAAGAGACTATTAGAACAGATATAACAAAAATTAAAATTTTTATAATATAATAAAATAATTAGCATAATGAATGCAGTAGAATGGATACAGCTTGAGGAATGAAGTTATGAAAGAGAAGATCAAGTTGAGAAAATCCTCTAGAAGAAAGTAAAAGACAAAATAATTAGGAAAATATAAAAGAAAAACCAATAGACAAGGAGGCTAGAAATGCCAGTCTTCCAGTGTAAGAAAAAAAAACAGTTTTACCCTCCTATCTTTCTGTGTGTCTCCCTCAGTTTTATACTACCAGCACACTCACATACCTCTGACACCAGATGTAGGCTTCTTTTCCCCTCACACCAAGCAATTATTTGTGACACCTGGGTGTCCTGAGGTTCAACTTAATTCTGACGCTATCTCCCTAGAGACAACATCAGATCCCACAGGTTAAAGGCTCAGTCCTACAAGACTGCCCTCAACCCTTTAGATGCCAAAATCAGAGGTTCCAGCAATCTTCTCCTTGAGTTTGATTAATTTGCTAGAATAGTTCACCAAACTCAGGCAAACACATTTACCAGTTTATTAACAAATACGGATGCACTGCCAGATGACGAGGTACGTAGGGTGAGGTCTGGGAGGGTCTCTGGTACGAGAGCTTCTGTCCCTGTGGAGCTGTGATGTGCCACCCTCCCAGCGTGAATGTGTTCACCAACCCGGAAGCTCTCTGAACTGAACCTCATCATCCTATTGGGATTTCATGGAAGCTTCCTCACATAAGCATGATCAGTTATTAGTATCATTTCTAACACTCTTCACTCTGGAGGATAGGGTAGGGCTGAAAAAAGCTTCCAATCATGGCTTTGTCTTTCTAGTGATCGGCCCCCATTCTGGGGTCATCCAGGAACCCACCTGGAGTCACCTTAGTAGAACAAAAGATACTCCTAGTGCTCTTATCACTTCCGAATTTAAGAGGGTTTTAGGAGTCCTGTGTAAGGGAAGGATTCAAAGACAGATATTTAAACGAGAGATACACCTAGTGCTCTTACTACTTAGGAAATTACAAGGGTTTCAGGAGCTCTGTGCCGGGGCAGAAACCAATATACATTTTCTATTATCTCACAAACCCACATGCTCACCAAAGGGAAAGCAGATGACTGAACAGTGATACATTCATTCAATGAAGTTTTATGCAACAATAAAACAAATTAGCTACAATGCAATAAAATAAATGAAGTATAGCATTAAGTGAAAAAATCGAGTTCCCTCAAATTACATACAGGCTGAAACTCAAAAGGTTAAACAATTAAACAGATACACGCATACATGCATTTTCTCCTGCTCTCTCCACAATTGCAAAGCTATTTAAAAATGAAAGCAAGGAAATGATGCATGAAAAATTCAAAATGAACCCAAAATTCAGGTGGATGGTTACCTTGGACTAGATGAAATAGGAGGTGAGTTAATGGGGGACACCAGATGTTTAGACGAGTAGTTTATTGACAAGTTTCTAGGATCTATCAATAGAAGCATACCAGGTATGGACAATGAGAACACATTGTGAACCAAGAAGTATGATTAATCATACTTCCTGAGGTTCGTAAAATAACTTTTTACCCAAGTGAGCGATTTCCTAAAAGGCTTACTTTTTACCTTTTCAAAATAGGGCACAGAAGGAATTTAGGAGGGACCATGCTTGACTAATCAGTACTCACTGAGAGAGAACTTGTGCAATGGGGCGAAGAGACCTTGCATAATGTCTCTGATGTTCAGAGGGATATAAACAGGGTGTGCAGCCTCTGAAGGAAGCTTCTATGCTGTACAATTCAGAGATATAACCATGATCTCAAAGGCTGTTTTGAAACCTTCGAAGATAGTAACAGGTCACGCATCACAAATGAATTCATTCCAGTACTTCACATTGCTATCTGTTTAGCTGGAGTCCCAATTTTTACCAGAACTCTGCTAACACTACCACAAACTGGTACTCCAGAAGCATTGTTCTACATTAAGAGTTAGCATTTTTTTTTTCCGTAAAGGGCTAAATAGTTAATATTTTAGGCTTTGCAGGCTATAAGATACTGTCACAACTATTCAAATCTGTTATCGCAGTGATGAAAGCAGCCACAGGTAAAATTTAAATGATAGAGTATGGCTGTGTTCGGTAAAACTTTAATTGCAAAAATAGGCAATAGGCCAGATTTGACCCCGAGACAGTTTATGAAACCGCGTTATATACCACCCATCCAATGATGACTCTTTTATCTTACAGTGGGAGTATCAACACAGCAGGCTCATCAGCGTGGTAAAATGGTATTTAGGTCAGGCCTTACCGTTCATGTTATTCCCCGACAGTTGCCACATCTTCTAATGTGAGAAGAAACAGAGTTCTATGATCCAGACTCTGGAATTGTTATAATGGAATTATTATCGGAGAACACTATCTCCAGAGTTGAAAGTTTGAGATGAGGATTTGAGGAAAAGCAAACAATAAAAAATAGTTTTTAAAAAGCGTCTCAGTTTTTATTGGGGAGTGGGGTTTATCAGTGCTTTCAGAACCCTAAGATGCCTATCTGGGGGTGATCTGCAAACTGTTTATACCTTCACCATCTGTGTATTAATAAGTTTGAAGCTATTTGAAAGCAAAAGTAAGCTTTATTCTACCAGCCATTCAAGGATTGTTTTAAGATAACTTTAGGATCTTAGGACATTTTCTTTTATTATCCTGTTTTTTAGAGTGGATAACAAGCTCACATTTTGCAGTTTGGCATTCTGTAAAAAAACAAAGACTAAAAGGGTAACCAATGTATCTTCACAGCCTGCTTTCCTGATTCATATGTCTGCCGAGAGCTTTTATACGGCAACTTACAGGACCAGCATCTTCAACATGACACAGACCACACTGGATTTTCAAACTCAAGGAAAGGAGTGGGATATTTCTTTGGTGACAATTTAGGGTCTCTGCCTCCGCTCTTGCTTCTTGTGCTCAGCCCTTTCTTTACACAGCAGCCAAATTTTTTTGTTTTAAACAGAAATTGATCAAGTCATTGCCCTACTCACATCCTTTATTGGCTTTTCATGCCCACAGAATACAATCTTAACTCCTCGCTGCACACAGAGCACTGTATGTGATCTGGCCTCTGCTTAGCATCCTAGCTGTATAGTCCCAACTACACCAATCTTCAATCTCCGAATACACCGTGCCTGTTTTTTTCCACCTTTAGGAAGGGAGCTTCCTCGTGGGGCTTCTTGAGAGAAAAGAAAGGTTGGAATTTCCATTTCCACTCTGAGTGACGTGACAGGTGGGATCAGAGCACTTCCTCCCCACTATCTGCCCCCACCCTCTGTCCGCTTTCTAAGCGGTTCTCAGGTTTTGCCCACAGGGCAGCAGGATGGGCAGATGTGCCCATCCTTCTTCAAATTAAACAGTTGAAAACAGCAAAAGATATCTCACCCTCAGAGGCTGAGGAGCAGTACAATATCTGAGAATTATTAAATATTATCTTGGGCAGAAAAAAGACATTGTAGAAAAAAATCCTAACTGGTTTGGTTATTAAGCATTCACACACACACACACACACACACACACACACACACGCACGCACGCACGCACGCACGCATTCCTCACAGCTTTTAAAGTATATTTATTAAATAAGTCCATTGAAGGAAAAAGATTCCCTCTTAATCTCATTATGCTGGCGTGTTTATTTTCTTCTTTTCCTTCAATCGGCATAAACAAAATCTATGAGGTAGAGATCTAGACCATTTTGTTCATTATTATATCCCTAGCACCTAGAATAGTATTTAGCATGCAATAGGCACTCAGCAAATACTTGTTGAATGAAAAAACAATAATTTCAGCAATTCCATGAGGTAAATGCTGTAATTATCCCATAGCTTAGACTAGAAATGTGAGGCTAATGAACTTTTTCAAGATCATAGCTAGTCAGTGCTACATCTGAGTTCAGCCAGTGCTTTTAAACATTCCATACCCTCAGTATCTTGTTTCCCCCTCTAAAATATCAACCCAAGCTATCTTTTCCAGTCAATCCCAAATTCCAACTGGATATGACCACTTCAGGACCTGGCAAGGCCTCTTAATTTTTTCATTCATCCAATCCAGTCAACAAGTTACTGGTAGAATAACTGATAGATAGACAGTTTTCTCTACTGTACAAAAATGTTGGTGTTTCCCACCCCTGCCCCCCGCCATAAGATATTGGTGCCACCCTATAGAACTGAATGTTTCTGTCTATAACCACCCTATGTTAACAAGTCTATTTTTATTTGCTATCATCTTTTTTAAGTTACACAGCTACACAGAAAATTGAACTCAGACTCAATTTTTTAAGCATCTTAGTTCACTAGTGAATAAACCAGTAATTCTTTGATTTACAAAAGACTTGCCAAATTTTTCTTAATCACAAAAGAAAAAAAAATTGAGAAAACTGAGACTCAGCAAGTTAAGTAACTTACTCATTAACTGAATTTTTCTATTGCCTTTTGATCTGATGTTGCTGTATAAGCCACAGCCACATAAAGGTTAACTGTTTAAAAAAAGAAATCTAAACCCACAAGGAGGAGCTTCTGGTTCCAAGTGACTAATCTTTTCTATAACCTGATTTATGCAACCCTGAGAGCCAAAGAAACTTTATAAAAGGATTAAAACTTATATAAACAAAGATCTCTTTATTTGCAGCTCTGATACTCTAGAGAGCAAGAAGCTCCAGCTTACATGTGTACAGAGCTTTGTTTATATTGGTTACTCAATGTATAATTTTAAAAATATCTGATGATCTTATACTATTGAAACAGCAGAGAATAGAGAGGATAGTCAATGCTAAGGTAAGAGAAATTCATTCATTTGGGTTACAGTGGGTTGCAATTCAGTCACTTTGGCTTGGAAAAATATCTAAGGTAGATTTAAAACTCATTTATAAACATAAGACCCTTTGAGTTTTCTAATTAACTTGTCTATAATTTCCTGATTGTGACAACAATTCTATTTAATGCAAGACTGTGTAAGAGTAATAATATTAGTTTTTCACAAACACAAACAAACATATGGGTATATACTTTGATTTTTTCCATATGTAGTTACAAGTAGTTTGAAGTATTGGAAAGGAGTCTGAATGATTCCAGATGATGTTTTCTTCCTATTTTGTCCATAGCCTGAAAACCTCTCTTTGTTTCGCCAGTTCCTCTAAGTCTATCCTTCAAGTTTTGATTAAGTCCTGTGTTCTCCATATCCCTTTCCCTCTCCCCTGAAATCCTAGTGAGTCACACACACACACACACACACACACACACACACACACACACTTTATTAGAGTTTTCTTTCAAAATTCAAAACTGAAAAAGTTATTTTTTTTAAAAGACCAAATAACACAAAAGTTTAAAAGAAAAAAGTCAATTTGGTACTTTTCTTTTTAGATTTTTCTAATGCTCATCTAAAAAAAATATAAAACATATATGTTTTATGCTTTTATATACATATACTCCTCCCTCTAATTTTATTCACAAGAAAAGGGTCATCATTATACACATGATCTGACTTGTTGCTGTCTTCATTTAACCATGTACTATGGACATTCCTCTAGGTCGGCACATAGATCTAAATTATTCTTGATCTATATATCCTTAGAAATAAATGTGTTTATTTTTATAGAATAAATTTCCAAAAGTGAAATTACCAGAAAAAAAAAAAAATGTGTAGTGCAATTCACAATCTTACCAGTTTTCTAGTCCCTTAGATGTTTTAAATCTTTAAAAATTTTGTTAATTTATTATATGAAAAAAATGAAGATGTTGTGTTGTTTTGAATTTCATATTCTTGGCTTTTAGTGAGAGTTAGCATCTTTTATAAAAGGCTTTTAATAAATCTTTTAGTCTATTTGCATCTCCTTTTTTATAAAACCTTAGTTCATACCTATGTTTTTTTGGTAGGAGTTTTTTTTTTTTTTTACATTAGAGATATAAACCCTTGCCTCATATATATTTCAAACATTTTCTCTATGTCTTTTTTTAATGGTATTTTTTTGCTTTTGTGTAATTTGTATTATGAAGTCAACTGTAATTTTTTTCCCATTATAATTTCTTGGTTTTTGTCTTTTTAAAGTTTTTCCTGACCATAACATTTTCTTATTTTATTCAAATATTTTTATTTTTTACATTAAAGTTTTTAATCCATTGCTCTTTTTATTTTCAAACATGATATTATCCAGGACTATCACTTTATTTTCCTTTCATATGGAGGTCTAATTATGATATCAAGATAATTCTTTAACTAAGTTGTATTTTGTTCTTATGAACTACTAAAGAAGTATTTATCATGCATTACATTTTCATTTATACTGGGTCTAGTTATGGTGACTTGTACCAGTGACTTGTTTGCCTATATTTTTTTCTTTCTTTTTCTTTTCTTTTTTTGCTCATGACTTACTGTTTTAATCAGGTTAGTGTCACAGAGGTTTTAATATCTCTTATGGCAGTATGGCAGTTATCTACAATCTTTTTCAATTTCAAGACAAGATGAGGTATTCTTTCTCCTCATCTGAAGCCTAGTGAGTTTGACTTAAAATTTGCTTAGAGTGCTTTATATTTGTCCTCTGTAGTTTGGAGGTCACAGGGAATTGGTGTCTGACTGCTACTTAAGAAGTCTAAAGGGTAGAAGGCTGTGGGTGTATCCGCCTGCCAGGAAGTAGAAGGAAGAGAGGGTCTATTTTAAAAGTAGCGCCATGTCCTCCCCCCCCCACTTTTTTATGGGTCAGCTGGACCTAGTTTGGGGATTGTCTTAGATATAGACTGATTGGATTATATGGAATAGTGTTGAGACCTCAAAAGAGGCTAAAAGTGTATGCAGCATATCTAAATTTAAAGGAGAAATTGTGTATGACTAGTCAGATGAGGTACCTGGTGCATTTACTCTGCCAAGGACACGTCGGGTGAGAGATCATGAATGAAAGGGGAGCTATCCAAAGATCTGTAAAAGCAGCCATGAGAGTCAGTTGTAAATATCTGTCCGTGCGAAAGGAGGAAAGGATGACATTTTCTGCCTCTTTAACTCCTCCCTCACAAGTTTCGACTCTGGAGGAAAGAGAGGCAGCTTGTTTAGCTTTGGGCAAAAGCTGAGTGTATTGAAGTAGGAAGAGGTTGGGAGAAACTGGAAAAGAAAATAGAGAAACAATCTGGGTTTTCCCAACTGAAGGCTTTGAATATGTTGTAGTGAGAGGAAAGAAACTAAAATTTAAATGATGTTCAAAGTTACTTAGATATATTAATCCAGAACTGAAACTTGTTGTGGGACTAAACATTATTGGAAGGCTTTTTTTTCTTTTGAAGGTCAACAGAAAGTAGTAAGACCTGTTTGAGATTCCCATAAAATGAATATGATAGACAATGGGGGGAGAAGAATAAGACTATTTTCTGATATCTCCACATAAATCCTCTTTGTTCAAGGCATTTGCACTTGCAGTCCATTTCTAATGTAAATATTGTTTTCGAGAACAAGGGTGGATTATTTCAAATTGAATTTCAATAACACATCCCTTTCAGTAAACATCGGTCTTCTCAGAAAGACACTGGAATTATGATTTTGCCTTCCTGCAACACTCCCTTCATTTTGCTATACTATTGCTAATTTTTCTACTTAAATATTTTCTACACATACATAATATTTTCTACTTATATATTTTCTACACATAGATATTTTTCCATTTAACCTGGAAATATCTTTTAAATCATGATAATAGATTTAGTTTTAGAGGCATGTCATCTGTCGAACAAACTCGAAAAGAGTCTGGAGGCTCCGGCCAGAAATAAATGATAAAGATTTGATTGAAGGTCTTAGGGTTTGTGAAATGGAAACCCAGCTAGGCAAAAACCCAGAAATGTTCTAAAGAAAAAAGAAATATTAAAAGTTCTTCTAGTAAAAAGTACATTATTGAGAATTATCAGTCTCCTATTCTTAGCCCTAGGATTAGTTCAGGACAGTTATCAGTTAGATGTCAAGCTGTCTGGATGGTGAATGTAGGTGGTTTGGAAGATGGGTGCCAAAAAATCTGGTCACGTCTGGCATTCTGGGTAATGGATGTTAGATGGATATCATGCGATCTGCATATGTGAATGCTTCAGGGGCTAATTAGAAGGTTATCTGGAGGTCTGGTGTAGGTCCAGCCAGGTATTGACACACAAAGAACTGATGTATAACTGGGCATTGACACAAGACTGGATAATTCAAAAGTTTAAGTTTCCAGGAGTGTTAGGACAAGAATAGAATTGTTTCTTTATGTCTCAACCTTCAAAACGTTAGTAATTTTAGCAGCTTGGTTAAAGTGACTCCATTTTATAAATTTTTTATCTCTACTATTTCTTCACACCAATTCTACAGAAAAGGAATTGATAAGGGCAGTCAAAGCATTTGAATCAAATTTGGACTACTCTATAAAGGGAGATTTTTTAAAGTAGAACTTATCATTTATCATAATGATAATAATAATTTCAGAAGTTTATATAGCATTTTAAATCTTCAAAATCTTCAAGACAGGAAATAAATAGAGTTACAATTCTCATATTTGAAATGAGTACAGAAAGTACAAATGTCTTAGGTGCTAACTTAATGCAAGTACTTAGAATCAGAACGAGGACAAGATGAAGCTTAAGCTTGACAACTTTTCTATTACTTTATCTAGCAAAAAGGTAATAGGAGCCACCAATTATTGAAATTTGCAATGTGTCAGGCTCTCTGACAGGCACTATACATTATTTATCTCATTTTTTATTATATGCCATGTGGTTGTCTAATCTTTTAAGGATCTAGAAATAGAAGATTTAAGAATCTCCTATTTGAATTAATTCTAGGAAGTCCAACGAAATCCGCCTAGATGGTCCCTTAGCAGCCTATGAAACATCAGAGATATTTAGGCTTTGAGGGCTTAAAAAGTGAGAATTAATTTAAATGTGGCTGCAACAGCTTGGGTGTTCCAAAACGTCATCCAAATATATGATGGAAATGTTGATAATGCAGGCAAAGAATGAGAGAATGTAAACTGAGCTCTACACTGTCCTGGTTCACCAATATTTTTGTCTTACAAATTAGAAATTTTTTTGACAGTAACAATCTGCGATTTTATTTATTTTTATGAGAATACAATATGGCGATCCAGTGAAACAGTCTACATTTTATTTGCATTCTAAAATAAAAAAAACAGCACATGAAATATGACTATGAAAATCTCACAGGAGGCACCTCATTTTGAAGAAGTCCTGGTTTCTTTTTCTATCCATTTTCTCTTCTATCTATGTGTTATTTTTTTCTTTATTTTCTGATGTCACTTATGTCATTTATGGTTTATGCATTCCTATTCTTTATGCTGTAAATCTTAGCATTAAAGCCCATGCTAACTAAATAGGGCTAGTTGGTAGGACTACTTAATATCTAAATTCAGCATAAACTACAATGTCACAAATATACACTTGAATAGTGAACATATCTTTGATTTTGCTATAGTATCTTTTGTCACATTTATATGGAAGAAAAGAGAGCTGTTTTCCAGTTGAGACTCTGATCATTTGCTAACCTCTTAAGTCAATATTGGATCTTAACCTGTTAATAATAAGTCTCACCTGAAATTATGGTCACATTTGTGGGTATTTCTGTAGGCTAAAATAGGTTTTAAATATACATTCTTAGAAAAGACTAAAAAGAAAGTGTGTAGGTGGTAATAATACCTAAGCTTTTCAGAGACAAATTCTAGATAAAAACAATAAAATGTAATTATAATAATTATAACTTTTTAAAATATATAAATAATATATGCTGATGCCTTCCTGTATTATAGATGAAAGACAATTTACCTCAAATTACTGGTTACAGTGACCAAGATCATTTTTGGTAATAAAGCACTGCATTATCCATTTTAGGTGATTCAGCTCCTAAATTCAAATATAGCAAAAGAGCAACATGTACTAGAGATGTATGAGATTCAAAAGATATTAAAGAGTTTCAGTACATTATGTCTCAAAATAGCCACATTAGATTGCTGTGTGATGGTGTTTGCAATGACAAAACATAAAAGAGTCTTTTCTGCATTTGAACACATCCTAAAAGACTAATCATACACTTGTGGCATTTTACCAGTTGTGGCTTTTAGAATCTCCCAAACATCTCGACCTGTGGGTTTACTTTTTTCTTGTTTTTTACTCAGAAGTCTGAGAATCAAGGTGGGGTTAATAAAGTAATGAAGCTGTGTAATTATTTTTATCCCGTCATGCTTTGGTCAATGCTATATCCTAGTATTTTAGTTAATAATAATCACAGCTAAAATTTACTAACCGTTGTATTGCCATGTATTATTATATACTAAGTGCTTTTCAGGCATTACCTCTATCTTCATATTTTTATAAAGCAGATATTATTTTTTTCATAAATGAAGGAATTGAGGGTAAAAGAAGTTAAGAAATGGATATAAATTTTCGAAAAAGAGCCAGGTTCTCAAAAAGGTCTGCCCTGATTCCAAAACCCTGTTCTTGCCACTATCCCAGTGGTCTGACTGAAGTAGCTCTCAGTGTCCTATTGATTTTTTTGCTCATTGACAGCACAGTAGAGAATCCTTTAAATGCTTAATTCTACTTTAATACTATGAAAGTTGACCACACTTAGAGCATATCTCCTGGTAGAGACAGACACTTATTATAGCCTCAGTTCCAGAAACTGATTTTGAATTTCCTGGAACTCAAAGGGTGTGGTTCTGTTTCATAGCCTCTTTTATTTTTCAGTGCATTTCTGCAGGAGGATTCTGAAAAAAGAGGGTTCCTAAAGGTGCAGTACAGTCTGAGGAAGCCAGATGAAGCTTCAGAGAAGCAAATGGTTTCCATTGTCTTGCTCTTGTCCCTCTTTTGTCCCGACAGCCTTCTCTACCCTGTCTACTCAGATTAACATTTAGGCTCTTTATAATCAGAGTAGAACTGGTGCTTTAAATTCTTGATCATGCTTAGCTATGTGCAAGAAAATGGTTGCAAATGTATGTAGGCTCTAAACCCGACTGGAGAAATTGTAAGCGAACCAGAACTCCTTTTGCCTTTTCTCCGCTGCTCTTTCTCCTTTTTCTTTTCCTTATAGATCACCCCTCTCCTTCCTTCACCATTTTTTTCTTGTTGTCAGGTACCTGCCTATTCCATTCTCCTGGGGCTTTGTTCTTAGCTTGCTGTTAACTAACTTCAACTAGGGTATTAGTAAATAATGATAAAGATCTCCCTTTCAAGAAGAATTTGACTTTCAATGAGAAACTCTTAAACTAAAAGATTCTTAAAATTCCAAAGAATGAATTTCAAATTACAGATTGTGATGGGAGTTAATTCTGGACTGGGTTTCTGCTCAAGACCTGTCATGGTGATTATTCAGATAATTCATATTTTCAAAAGTGGAGGCACGAATTGAACAAAGGGAAATGAATTATCACATACCAGAATACAGTTTTATTACAGTTATAGCTGTGTGTGGGACCACAGCCTCCTAGGCTTTATGTAAGCTCATATTAATTATTTTAGCATTTCTATTACATAGGCCCTATATTCACATGTTTACAGGATAATCAGGGCATTATGCCTATGAAGATGAAGAGATTTTTCTTATTTAAGTCTATAATTTTTTATAAAATTAATTTTCCTTTTTTATAATGCTTGTCCATAATTTCACTTTTAAAAGCATTAAATTTCTTAACATATAGTTTGCTATATATGTGATAACATTTGTGGCCACTTAAATTTGATCATTTCAGAATTTTAGAATTTGCTCTCACTCTTCTAATCTACTTACAACCCAGGTAAACTCTACCAGATATGCTGTTTCTATATTGTCTTCTATTTCCCTTTTAGGATTTGTATGACACTTCTTACTGATTATAACCTTTGTTCTAAATAACAAAAGAAATGTTCCCACAAGGAAGAGGGTGGATTTTTCTGAACCTATATCTAGTATGGTTTTGTCAACATTTTGTAATTCTAGAAGCAATTGCATAAGACAAGTGCCTTTGCATCATTGGTTATTGGAACAGGACAGGTATCTAGTGATACAAATCCTATTTAGGATTTGGGTAGATTATTTTTATTCTATTTTTTTTTGTTCCTTTGAATTTTTTTCCACATTGTTTTGGGTCCACTTATGTTGCCTACCTATATCTTTTTGCTTCTCACCTCTCTTTTTAAATCCTGTTTATTTTCTATTAATAACAAAAGTGCCCTTTGTTATACCAGGTCATTCCTTTATTCGTGTACAGTTACCATGGCTATAATAGTTACCACTGATTGAACACCAAAGATGTGCCATTGCATATTTTATTCCTACTCTTTAATAATTAATAAAACTTTACAATTATTATCTCTGTTTTACAAAGGGGGCACAAGATGCCACACTATCAACTTTATCACACCATATTAAATCTGAACTTTACATTAAAATTTACTTGCTCATTCATTTGTTCACGACTCATAAAATATATTTATTTAAACAATATTTTCAAGGTATTCTCAAAAACTCAACCACTAAAACAACATCAAATACCAAAATAAGCTCAGTAAAAACTGTTGAGTGACTAAGTAAATATTTGAATAAGCTGATATAAGAAAAGTAATGCAGATCAGAGTCTATGTAAATTCAGAAGAAAGTTGAAAGGATCATGAGAGGTTCCTTAGAGAATGTGGCATTTGAGGAGAATGTGGATATAGACTCCCGGGGGTAAGGGAAGAATATTGCAAGGTGAGCAAATTTCATGGGCAAAGGTATGGAGGTTAGTGAGTGTGAGGTGTGAAATATAGAAGGTTAATAGACAAGGGGAACAGTAGCAATGCAGATGTAGTCTGATGTCCCATGGGAAGGACCTTAAGGGACTGGCTATCAAATATGGGCTTATTTGCTCAGCAGAATTTTCAGTTAACCATAAAAGAAAAAAATAAAAACAAGAATATTCCAACTGAGGCAGGAGCAGGATTTAATTTTTTTAAAACAGCATTTTATCTCATTTCAGGAATCTAAAGCAAAGAAGGATGGCTTAACAAGGATACTTAAAATTGCTGGGTTTCTAATGTTCAGAATCATAACTCTACTATTAGCTGTTTACAATTTACCAAGTTTCCAACTATCATTTTCTCTTTTGTTCTCAAACTCGGGTCATAAAGATATAGGCAAAATAAATGGCTTTTTAAAATGTTTTAAAAATAAACATCTATAGCAAAAACATTTTATTTTCTAAGACTGACATTTTATTATAAGATCTTAGTTAGTATTAAATTTAACACAATTTTTAACATGACAATTTATGTGTACCGGCAACAAACATGTGACACAGAGATTCAAATATTCAGGCTAGCAATGCAAAAGGCATTGTTAAATTATACAGGAAATCACTAGAGTATTTATATTCAAACAGTAAGAACTGTAGAAGTACATTGACTTCTAAAGGGGTAAGTCAGTCAGCGTTTTTTTATTTAAAATCTCAACTGTATTTCTCTTGCCATATGTGTTGGATCCCACATTGGTAAGTGAGAGAATGACACTAAAATTGTTGCTGGAATGGACTAAAAAATTTGCTAGCCACTGAATTGCATATATGGCAGTGTCGCATTTCTATTTTTCCACCTGAGGACTAGAAACGTGGATCAAATACCACAAGTTAGAGATTTAGACTCAAGATTGGATACAGCTATGCAACACCAAGTATCTCATATAGATAAAATTTCAAAGAAACGTTTTCGCATAGGTAACTCAATGTTTTGGTTTAGAAACAGCTGGATGACTGACTAAGATTTTTTCTGACATTTTGAAGATGCAGCAGAATCAGTTTGTGACTAGGAAACCATATAATAAAGCTTCCATTATAGTCAATGTCAAATTTCACAATATGATATTTTCTTTGGAAGTTCAAACTATATTTTAAATAATAATAATAATAAAGTATCTTTGTCTTATATTCTTCAAAATCTTGTTGAAGAATATATTTCCTTATATGTAAGAAAGACTTAGAATGTGAAATATTTATGTAACCTAAAATTTCCCACATCTTTCCAACAAGAATTAAGCAGTATAGGTGAATTTTTAAGTTTTCTAAAATCATTGAATCAGAAATATTATGAAGTCTCAAAGGTAATCACACTCTGACTGTTGTATTGTGGGAGTTTTATTACTCTTAGCATAAATATGTAAACATTACCATCTTTCTGACACCTACATGGTTTCTATGCTTTCGACAATTTTAATAATGGATTAGGTGAAATGTTAAAACCAAAAAACTTTTTATGTCAATGGTATTAATGTTTACCACATTCTTTCAGCCACCTGAAACAATTGCATAATAGTATTATAGGTAAGTCAGTAATGATCTATAATCAAATAATTCATTTCAATTTTAACTTTTGTTTTTATTTATAGAATTTATTTATATCAACTCTATATTTTTGCACCACATTTTTTTTCAATGTGCTTTCGAAATGGTATTGGAAATAGATACAGAATAATATCATTGCTTTCTTTTCACTGATTATTAGGAAAGGTAGGGAAATGTTTTAGTTTTTCAGTACCATGGAAATCAAAATATTAGTGAAACTTAGGGTAAGTGTAAAGTAGGAAAGAGATGTAGGTCTGAAGTTATGTCCAGAAGCCAGTGGATATACATATCTTGGGCAAAACGCAATGGATTTTATCTTTATGTGTTTACTTTGTGTGGGGAGTACTTCATTATCTGTATCTTTGTATAGACATCCCTGTTAGTAAATATTTTTAAATCTATGATTCTTAGGGTTTATATTGTCATATTCCCTCCCAAATACAGAAAATTCTTTTTATAGAATCAGGTGAACTGGATATCAGTTGAGTATAAGTTTGTTGACAAACCAATTATTCAGGCAAAGGAAACTTGCTTTGAGACTAATTATCTCATCTATATATCAATACTATTTATACTATCTATTCAATTATTTTTCTTTGCATGTATAGTAAACATGTATATTGTCAAAGAATGATGTAATGCTTTCAAGGAATGAATCTATATTTCATACATTGGACAATAAATTCTGAAAGACAATAAATGTTTCCTGAAAAACATCAGGAATTGGAATTTGACCCAAACACTTCAAACTAATAAATTTAAATCAATAAAGAGAATTATAAATAAGACTGAGAAGGTTGAAAGGAATATCTATCACAATATGACCTGCAAATGCCTGTAACAGAGTGTGAAATACTCTATGTGCTAAATGTCTGAGTGGTTTTTGATAATTGTTCTCAAAAACTGTAACAGAATTTAAAATTATTCTAATTAAAATACTATCTCATTTGCATTGGTTAGAAGAGACATTTTACTTAAAAGAAATATTAAGAGCTTTTATGTTGGTTGATTTCATAATTGTGAAACTGCTTAGCTAGAAGGGCCATCATTCTACTTAAAAAAATATTAAGAGTTTTTATGTGGATTAGTTTCATAATTGTGAAACTGCTTCCATAAACAAGACTTTTCATGTAAATATAGTAATCAGTATGTACAAAGTTCTACCAAAAACTATCATTAAGATGGAAAAAGATAACTGAAATGGTTAGTGAAAGTCACCATAGGCCTACTTTCAGGTGTTTTTCCTCATCGACTACCCAGGCAGACAAGCCTTACCTGCCTACCAGCTATTAACAAACACTAGTTTAAAGCTACTGACCACTTACACACATGCACAGATACACGGAAATTCTTGTCTTTGATAGAGTTTAACCAGCGATGATATAGGCCAAACTATAACTCTTAAATTGTCTCTCTTTAAAAACATCTCAATTTCAAGGGCTTTCAAAACAGTTTTAAAATGAGTCCCTACTCGCAGCTTTTAATATTCATCTGTGGAGTTGTGTGAATTTCTATAGGGAACTCATAGTGGCTATAGCTTAAAACCCATGTAATTATGCTTTTAACTACCCTCTGACTTCTGCCAGGCAAATATTTTCTGCTGAGTGTGAAAAAGTTGCTGGGCAAGTGTGTGATCTTTTTGGCTCAGTCATGAGTGTAAAAATAACATAATTATTTCTATATATTTTACTTTCCAGAAGGAGATGTAAAAGTTTTGGATATTACCAGAGCCCTCTAAGAAAAAAAATACACAGTAAAATTCCACCTGATATAAAATATATATTTTTAAGTTTTTCCGTTTATTTAAGAATCAGGTTAATACAGTAAAAATTGCTACCCTTTGGTTTTTCCTGCTTCATGTTCTGACTTTGCCACTCTAAGTTCCAGTAGTATATTTCTTAAAAAAAACCTAGAACTATTCATTCCTGTCTGTCAGAAGTTCCATCAGGGGGAAAATAAAAAGAAGTTCCATCAGAGACATTTATCAGTCACTCTCATTATTCTTTTTAAAGAACACAGAATTCAAGAAATAGTTGAACAGCTTAATATGCTGTTCTTAAGGATGATTTAGTCAGAACTCTGATGACACAAGGGCTGTTAATTATATATCAGTAAATAATTCTAATTTTCTCATACTTTACAAAAGAGACAAGATATTTAAAGTTATTAACTTTTCAATGGGTGTAGCTTTCAGTTGGCTTAGTGCAACAGAGGGCACAATGAGAACTACTAGAAGCTGTTGAGTGCACATTGCTTCTCAAATTTTCTGAAAAGAATAATTCAGCACTGAAATCAAGAAATTTCTTATAGCTCTAATGATGGCATTTTGAAGTAGAGCCTACTTAAAAATTTTTTTAAACATAACCCCCAAAGATCATAATTTTATTGATATAGTTCCTCAATACTGTTCACATAATTTTGAAATATTTTCAAAATTTTCACTTTCCCAATTTTCTTCTCTAAACAATCTGGAAAATTGATATTATAGTACATTCTTCCTTTAGCCTTTCCTTGAAGAAAGCCATATATTTAATCTCAAGTCTGCTCTTTTCCTAAATAAGCAATACTTTCCCAGAAATAGCAAATTCTTTACCTTTTAATTGTTCAGTATCAGAAAATGCCTTTGTTAACAAAAAAGCTTCATGAAAAATCCCAAGCTTGCAACCACTGGAATATTACCTCCGAACTTCTAACCAGTCATCCAGCTCTTACAATATCCTTCACACCTTTCCAGGTCTGACATCAGGCAGCTCAGACAGACTGTCATTAATTTCCATCCCTATAGATAGAAACTGCCTCTTAGACAGCAGTAGCAGATGGGTCATTATTACATTAAACATCAATAAATATTAATGTAGTAGATACAGACTGTCTCTGTGTAGTTAATGGTGTGTCACACACAGCAGAAGTTTAAATTTGCCATCTTTGTAAAATTCCAGGATCAAATAGTATGTTACAGTAAGAAATTGATAAAGAGAAGTAATTAAGAATAAAACCAAATGCGTTTATATGAAAAGAGTGAAGCCAGGGACTTTGAGAATCTAGCTAAATCCAAGTGACCCCAATGGTTTAATTCTATGAGCATTCAGTAGTAGATTGGGTATAAGGGCAGGCGTGTGAGAAATGACACACAAAAGAATCAAAACTCACTTATGATGAAGAGAGGGAGGGAGAATTAAAGGCATAAAAACAATAGTTTTCAATTCACAGATTCATTTGTCAGCCTGTGAATAGAGAGACATAGCTACACAAATGTATTCAAGCAGCTCTTCACTGACTTTTTACATTATTACATTGAAACATCACAATTATTTTGAAGTAACAGATTTAATTTGATATTTTTTCCAAATTATTTTTTCTTGTATTTTTAAGCTTTATTTAATTTAATATTCTAAATAATGACAATTTAATATCATATATGACAACTAAAACAAATTCTACTGTCAGGGAAAATGTGTATATCTGTGTAATCTAAAAAAGATGGAAGTTCTCCAAGTAAGAAAATTAAGTTCATTGATTTCATGAACTTCTTTAGAGCTTAATAATATCATTTGAGGGTGTTTAATAAATATTTCAGAAGGGAAGAAAATAACTTTTTTTCAATTCTTGTTCTAATTATTGAATGATTCTGCAATTTTAATATTTCTGTGAAATTTGCTGATATTCTGAAAGAAAACAAAATATATAAAACAATTTAAGTAAGAATAGTGATTTACTGTAAGAAGATAAGTGATGTATTTAGCAAAGTGTATACAATAATTTAGAAATAATACAGAAGCCCAGAGGTGTTAAATAACTTGTCCAATATCACACATCTAGTTTGCGTTGAATCCTGGACTAAAGCTTAGCTTTTCTGATTCCTTTAGACCAAAAAGCCTACTTTTATGCTACATATTTATTTATTTTATTTTCCTAGCTTTTTGTCCCATCTGAAATGTTAAAGATGCCAAACATAACATTCAAAAATTGATTCTCTATCACTCCCTGGGAAAGTGTTATGAGGAAAATGTTCTACCTAAGAAAGGAACATGAGGACCTGGTACTTTGCAAGGACTACCACATGCCAGGCACAGTGGTTTAACTGGTATGTGATACCTCACTTCATCTTCACACTGCTAAAGTGAGTAGCATTTGCCCCAATTGATGCATGATAAATGTGATGTTCAGAGACTATAAGTGACTGCTTAAGGTTACACAGCTACTCAGGGGCAAAATCAAATTCAAATTCTCACCTGTCTGTCTCAGGATGTTTATTTCTTTGGTAAAAAGGACCTCTACTGCCATATACTGAATTGCTAATTGCTTCCTGTAAATTTTGCATCTTATTGTAACACTGTGAATAACTTTTTTAAAGCCAGATGCAGTCTCATGTTAGTTTTGGATAATGTTGGATAAGGTCAACAACTGTCCCAGTCTCCAATAGTTTCACGTCTTCCATGAAATGAAAGTGAAGGTGGTACATGGTGACTTAGATTGTTTTTATGAAGGAATTCCATTACTAGATCATAAGCTATTTCCTACAGGACAAACATTGCTATGTCTCATCTTTGTACCCCGTCTAGCCTGCTTAGCCAAAGTGTAAGCAAAGTGCTGGCAGCTTTGGCATCACCTGGAAACTTGTTAGAAAAGCAGAATCTTGTCCCCACCCCAGATCTCCTGAAAAAATAGATCTCTCCTCGGTGATTGTACGCACAGTAAAGTTTGAGAAAAACTGTCCTATTACACAGTTCATTTACTCACTGGTTAAATAAATATTAATTAAGGACCCACTGACAGGGAATGTTCTAGCTACTGGAGATACAACAGTGAGCAAAGCAAAGTTCCTGCTCTCATGCAGCTTACAGCCTGTGGAGGAAATGAAGAGTAAGCAAGTGAACAGGTAAAAATGCAATGAAAAGTGGTAGGTATTGTGGAGAAAATTAGTATGGTGGTGAGAGAAAGAAAAGTGGCGACTTTTAAGTTGAATTCTAAAACTTAAGAGATAACCAAGGAGAATGATGAGAAAGTGTTTAAGAATTGAGAAATAAAGCAAGTGCAAATTCAAGTGAATGAAGGGGAAAGTGGTATTAAGATGATGCTGGAGACATAAACAGGAGACTGAAGATGCAGGGCTCAGAGGCTGTGTTAAGGACCTTGGATTTATTCGGAGGGCAGTCCTAAAACTATTGAAGTGATCCATGTAGAGGTGCAATATCTTCTGTTTTCAGTATCTTTAAAATACCAGTCTGACTTTTGTGTGTGGAACGGATCAGAGAGTGCAAAAGTAAAAACAGAAAATCTGTTAGGAGACTAGACAGTGTTCTAGATAAGAGTTGATAAGGCCCTAGACCAGGGTGATGGCAGAGGTGTTAGAGAAGTAAATGAACTCAAATCATATTTGATATAATAACATGAAGTCAATGAACTAGGCAGGTATGGGGAACAAATGAAAGAGAATTAAAGATACAAATGAGTGCCAATTTAGGATATAATTCATAATAAGAATTAATGGGCTTCATCCCATCAAAATAAAATAGTAAAAGATGTTTAATATTTATTTTAAAATATTTTTTGTTTTTATCAAATTTGTGTGTGTTTAAAATTTAAAAAAATTGAATATTATTACAAGGCTAGCTGTTTCTCTATATTCCAAAAATTATAATTTCTCTGGACACTCCTGATTTATCAATTTTAAATGTTATATGCTTGTATTCTAATCTGGAAGATGAAGATTGAGTGTTGAACAACCACTTTTCTTCTCTACCACCCTCCTAAAATATTTTAATAAAACATTTGTATTATATCAATATTAGGTTTATTTTTTTTTATATTTACATTTTAACTTTTGGTTATGGAAACTTTCATGTATATATAAAATTTCAACAATTATCAACACATGGTCTGTCTAGTTCCTTTATATTCCTACCTACTTTCTTCCTGCTCCACACTAGATCATTCAAAACAAATCCTAGACATCATATAATTTTATCTGTAAATTTTTTAGTGTTTTATCTATGAAAGATAAGAACACTTTATACAACATAGCCATAATACCATGATCAGAACTAAAAATAAAATTTACAATAGCTCCTTAATATTCATTCAGTGTTCACATTTTTCAATTGTCTAGAAAAAAGTTTTACTTGATTTGTTGGAATCAGGAACTAAATAAGATTTCATTGATTGCTCTGTCTCATATGACTCTTTTGATATGTAACTCTCCTTTTTTCTTTTTCTTACCAATAATCCATTAAATAAATGTGGTCATTTATTGTGCAGAATTACCCACAGTTTGTATTTTGCTGACAACATACATGTGGCATCATTTAATGTGTCCTTTTCTCCCTTGTATTTCCTCTATACTGATAGCTTGGTCTACTGGTTTTATCCAATTCATAGTTTTGGTAAGAATGATTCACACGTGATAATGTTTATTTCCTATTGTATCACATCAAAGGACTCATAATATCTGGTTGAATTTCTTTTATGATGTTAAGATTGATCTGTGAGGTCATATGTTGTCAGCCACATTGTCTACTCTGAGTTCTCCATTAGCTCTTCGCTTACTGGTTTTTGCCACCATTGGTGATAATTGCCTGGAATCATTGTTTTCTGCTGTTTTAAGGTGGAATGTGCTATAAATGTTTATTAATTCATCTAGTCTAATGTGTCATTTAAGGCTACTTGGAATCTCTATCTGTTGATATAAGTGGGGTATTAAAGTTCCCTACTATTCTTGTATTATTGTTGATCTCTCTCTTATGTTTGTTAATATTTACTTTATGAATTTAGGTGCTCTTATGTTGGGTGCATGGATGTTTATAAGAGTTATAACCTCTTGTTGATTTGATCCCTTTATCACTACATATTGCCCATTTTTGTCTTTTGTACAGTCTTTATTTTAGAGTTTATTTTGTCTCATATAAGTATTGCTACCCCAGCTTTTCTTTTTTTCGTTTTCATTTGCTTGAAATATCTTTTTCTACCCCTTTACTTATAGTTTATGTGTCTTTCAATCTGAAATGAGTCTCTTTATGCAGAATATGTACAAATCTGTTTTTTTAATCCATCCAAACACCATATGTTTTCTGATTCACGCATTTAGTCCATTTACATGCAGAAAAGTTATTGATAGGTGTAAAGTTATTGCCATTTTATTAATAATTTTTCAGTTGTTTTTGTGGTTCTTTTCTGTTCCTTTCTTCGTCTCCTGCTCTCTTCTCTTATACATTGATGACTTTCTATAGTGGTTTGTTTGGATCCCTTTCTCTT